ATCATTGCAAACGCCAGCACAAAGCACAAGCCAACTGCTGTCACAAGCAAATCAAGAAAAAGCCTATAGAAAATGCCTTGTCTTAGTGACTCTTGAGTGCAGTGTGATAAACGCTGGGTCTCAGGATGATGAACAAATTGAGTGATCTCAGGTGTGATGCCGAGAGGGGAAAAGAAATGTTCATTCGTTCAGTGATAACTCATTGAAGGCTTATGTTAAGGTACTCTGTTAGATAACAAGAGTATGAAAATTGGTAAGTCCTTGTCTACCCTGGACCTTGTAGGGTCTGCAGTTTAGAATCATATAATTAGGGACCAGTGTTGTGGCTTAGCCAGTAAAGCCACTGCCTACAATGCCGGCCTCCCATATGGGCACCGGTTCATGTCCCAGCCACTTCACTTCCAATCCAGCTCCCTGGTAATGGCCAGGAAAAGCAGCAGAAGATGGCTCAAGGTCTCTCCACAGGGGAGACCTAGAAACTCTGGGCTCCTGGCTTCAGCCTGGCCTAGCCTTGGCCGTTACAGCCATTTGGAGAGTGAACCAGTGGATGGAAGATGTTTCTCTCTCTCTCTCTCTCCCTCCCTCTCTGTAACTCTGACTTTCAAATAAGTAAATCTTTAAAAAAAATGATAAAATGATGATATTTGCTTTCAAAGGGTTCACTGTAGTTTTCATTTTCAGAGTTGCAATTTTTTCTTAATGTAGATCTTAAAATATACTTTTATCTGTTTTAAAATATTTATTTATTTATTACAATTTATTTATTTATTTGAAAGTCAGAGTTACACAGAGAGAGAAGGAGACACACACACACACAGAGAGAGAGAGAGAGAGAGAGAGAGAGAGAGAGAAGTCTTTCATCAGCTGGTTCACTCTCAATTGGCCACGATAGCCAGAGCTGTGCTGATCCGAACCCAGCAGCCAGGAGCTTCTTCCAGGTCTCCCATGTGGGTGCAGGGGCCCAAGAACTTGGGCCATCTTCTACTGCTTTCCCAGGCTATAGCACAGAGCTGGATCAGAAGTGGAACAGCTGGGTCTTGAACTGGCACCCATATGGGATGCTGGTGCTTCAGGCCAGGGCAGTAACATGCTGTGGCACAGTGCGGCCCCCTATTTATTTATTTGAGAGTCATAGTTACAGACTGAGAGAGGGAGAGACACAGAGAGAGGTCTTCCATCCACTGTTCACTCCCCAAATGGCCACAATGTCTGGGGCTGGGCTGATCCAAAGTCAAGAGCCAGGAGCTTCTTGGGGTCTCCCATGTGGGTGCAGGGGCCCAAGCACTTGGGTCATCTTCCACTGCTTTCCCAGGCCTTTAGCAGGGAGCTGGATTGGAAGTGGAGCAGCTGGGACTTGAACCGGTGCCCATATGGACTTGAAGTGGTGCCCAAATGGGATGCCAGAACCACAGGCAGAGGATCAGCCTACTACGCCACAGCACCTGCTCCAACACCTTTGTCTTTTATCCCCATATAAACTAACTTTCCATACTATCCTTTATAATTTGAATAAATAAAGTGAATAAAAAGTGAAAAAGGGTATGTATACCTGATGTGAGGAAATGGCCCCTCATTAGCTCCTCTGTGAAATGGGCCTTAATATGTTACCATACTAATGTGATTACATTCCAGATGGTGACTTGACCAGTGTGTTCTACTGGTTAAGAAAGTTAAATACTGTGTTATAGAGGAGGTGAAAGCCGGTAAGCACCCAACTGTGACATTTCTCCTGGTGATAAATGGCAGCACTGGAGGAGACTTGACATGAGACTAATGCCATGTCAGGTGACCTAGAGTTGATGCTGTACTGTACACCACCTTAAGGCATCCCATGCATCCCACCCTGTGAGAAGATACTGGGCTAGGACACCAAGGCCTCTTTACCTAGTACGTCCTAAGATACACATTCATCTTACTTCAGGAAGTTGTGCGAGAATCTGTGTGGTTTCTATAGGGACTAAATAAGATAACAAAGGTGAAGCTACCCTGGATAGCACAGCACATAACAATCTCTCAATAAATGCTGGTTGAGTTTTTAGGTACAAACAATAAAGTGCTATGGAAACATAGGTTATTATTCTCCTAGCGTGCTTTGGTTAATAAAATGGTAATCCCCGCTGGACTGGGGCTGGTCAACCTTGAAGACAGAAGGAAGCAGTCCTGATTCACCCAAGATGTCCCTAGGAAAGTAGATATGAGACCAAAAGGAAAAAAAAGCAAAAAAAAGATCCTATTAAGCTCCCCATTTAAGTTTTTCCAACACTGTCTTTGAATTCTCTGTGACCCAAAGAAAATTTTCTTTTGGATAAATCTTCAACATTTAGAGTCAGTTTTAGTTCTTTGAGAATATTGCATCAAAGGAGGAAGCCAAAATCTAAAAAAGGGAAAAAATTACTTACAATCATTCATCAAATGCAGTAGGAATATTATGATTGCCTATTCATATGTCAAAAAAATTCCTTTATATGTAATGAATCAATGTAGAAAGGGGATTTCATGACTTAGATGTATGACATTCACAGAATCTGATCTTAATCTTTTACTTTGCAAAGTATTCTGGAATTCACAACGCATTTTTTATGTATTATACTTTATATAATCCTTACCACAGCCCCCCCCTTTTTTTTTTTTTTGACAGGCAGAGTGGAGAGTGAGAGAGAGAGACAGAGAGAAAGGTCTTCCTTTGCCGTTGGTTCACCCTCCAATGGCCGCCGCGGCTGGTGCACCACGCTGATACGATGGCAGGAGCCAGGTGCTTCTCCTGGTCTCCCATGGGGTGCAGGGCCCAAGCACTTGGGCCATCCTCCACTGCACTCCCTGGCCACAGCAGAGAGCTGGCCTGGAAGAGGGGCAACCGGGACAGAATCCAGCGCCCCGACCGGGACTAGAACCCGGTGTGCCGGCGCCGCTAGGTGGAGGATTAGCCTATTGAGCCGCGGCGCCGGCCACCACAGCCCTTTAAAAGTATCTACAGCCAGTGGTGGGCATTGTAGTACAGCTGTTAGGACACTGCTTGGGGCGCCCACATACCACATCCCAGTGCTTGGGTTCAAGTTCCCACTCTACTTCCCCTACAGCATTCCTGCTGATGCACAAGCTGGGAGGCAGCTGGTGATGGCTCAGGTACTTGCATCCCTGGCACATGTCCCTCCCGCACGGGAGACCAGGACTGAGTTCTGGGCTCCTGGCTTTGGCTTGGCCCAGGCCTGGCTGTTGTGGGCATTTGGAGATGAACCAGCAGATGGAAGATTTCTTTGTCTGCTTCTCTCTCTCTCTTTCTTGTTCTGCCTGTCACATAAATTGAATAAACACAACTTTAAAAGAATGCATCCAAAACCTCTTTTCCTTAACATTGTTTGTATCATATAGGTGTAAATCTTATGCCCTTAGAAATCCCATTACTTGCCTCTATGTATTTGCTGTGTTTTGTGAGGGGGGGGGGGAATTATAAGAAAATTTGTATATCAGTTTCTTCATGAATAATTTGGGGCATTTCAATATTTATATAAATAACCTAGTCAAGGTAATTTTGTCTAGTGAGTGTTTTATCAGGTAATTTATTAAAATGAGAGCTAAATTTTGAGTTGTTAGCTCAGCTCTGAGACTGACTGCAAATGCTGAGCTGCAGCTGGCCTCCCTCCATACAGATCAGAAGGACAATTCACTGAGCTCAGTAGGACAGTATTGGCTGTGCCAGCTTGTACAATCCGCAATTCTATGGCCAGGACTGCAGAATCTCTGCTTCTGCTTCCATCAAGGGAGAAAACAGAAGCAGTTAACAGATGAGAAAACAAGAAAAGAAAAAGCCTGGCCATGACCTGGTTTGTCCAAAAGCTATTCCCCTTTCAAAGTCACTTTCTGAGCATGGACCCGACCAGAATAATCAGCATTCACTGTGGCTGGCTGAAGGGTGAGTCAGGATTCTAAATTCTGGCTTCAGTGCCCGGCCAAATGGAAGCACCAGCGAAGGAAGGAGTACATCATGATGTCAGCAGTTTCTGAGGGCTGGTCAAAATGCTGCAAAACAGGGCTGGTTCTGTGATGCAATAAATATATCTGAATGTCTCCTGCCCCCAAATCAGGCAAAGGATTAAATCTAAGGCTCCCCTGCCCCATCCTCCAAACCTAAGGCCCTCGGCATCAGCTGGTAGAAGTTTTGATATGTTCTACCTAGCACCTAACATGTCACCAGTTAAGGCATTTTACTTAACAATGCCAAAGAAATGCTATGATGTGTGGTGCAGCAGCCTTCACAAACTCAGTCTGGGCAGCCCCAAATGAAACCCCTTGCTCACTTCATCAAGGATCCAAATCCAAGTTTCACTAATTCTTTTATCAAGTCCTAAACTTTACAGCACTTGGGGAGACGATAATCACTAAAATGTTAAAACTTCATATAACTAATAGAGGATTCATATCCAGAAAATAATAAAGCCTCTTACTGGGGGATGGCATTGTGGTGTAGAGGGTAAAGCCACTGCCTGCAATGCTGGCAAATGATATGGGCACCGGTTTGGATCCTGGCTGCTCCACTTCTGATCCAGCTCCCTGCTAATGGCCTGGGAAAAGCAGTGAAGGATGATCCAAGTGTTTGGGCCCCTTCCTCATGGGAAACCAGATGAAGCTCCTAGCTTCAGCTTGGCTAGACCCCAGCTGTTGCAGCCATCTGGGGAGTGAACCAATAGATGGAAAATTTCTCTTACTGTCTCTTCCTCGCTCTCTGTAACTCTTTCAAATAAATAAATCTTTAAAACAAGAAATAGAAAAACCTCTTACAAACTCCTAAGAAAAAAGGTAAGCAACTTAATAGAACAAATGAGGAAAATAGGCCCAATAAGCTTGAATCCTACAAAACATATGAAGGGACAGATGTTCAACACCACCTGTAATCTAGGAAGTGCTCCCTGAAAAAACAAGACACCAAATGGAAAATTTTCATTCACATCCAAACCTGCCACTGATGTTCATAGCAGCTTTGTAATAGTCAAAAACGGGAACTAATACTTACCTGGTAGGGGAGACACCATGATCACGCAGGTGGTTTTCCTGGGGCATGGCTCATCCATTGCACTGCAGATGTGCTGACCCCTGCGATCTTCCCAAATGTGAGAAACTCAACAACATAATTTGTGGTAGTGGGGGACTACGTTCACACTCTCCTCTAAAACACAATAAACTGGAACTATCGCACAGGTCCTTCAGTAAGTGTTAGTTGAACAAACTTGGGTCTCTCCTTGTCTTGGAATACCAGCATTAAAAGGCATGGACTATTGATCCATGCAGCTTGGATGTCTCCCCAGGGAATTACGCTGCACCAAAAAAGTTAATTTCAAAAGATTATATCCTACATGATTTAATTTACATAACATTTCTGAAAGGAAAAAATTTTAGAAATGAAGAACAAGGATGAGAGAGGAGGGGAATAGAAGGGAAATCGGCATGACTGCAAGAAGGCACCAGGTATGATTCTTGTACTGCAACTGCTCTGTATGCTGAGTGGAGGCAGATACATAGGCTGTGAGACAGAAGCATTTCAGAGTAAATAGCCTACACTCAGACATACACAAATGAGTACAAATGGGAGAAATCTGAACTAAAACAGTGGACTATTCCAATTTTTATATTCTGGTTGTGACACTGCTCTATATTTTTGTAAGAATTACCATTGGAGGAGCTGGGTAATGTTTGGGATGACCGAGTATTATTACTATTATTTTTAAATTTTTTTATTTTTCTTATTTGTATTTTTATTTTTTTGATAGGCAGAGTGGACAGTGAGAGACAGAGAGAAAGGCCTTCCTTTGCCGTTGGTTCACCCTCCAATGGCTGCCGCGGCTGGCACATTGTGGCTGGCACACCGCGCTGATCCGATGGCAGGAGCCAGGTGCTTCTCCTGGTCTCCCATGGGGTGCAGGGCCCAAGTACTTGGGCCATCCTCCACTGCACTCCCTGGCCACAGCAGAGAGCTGGCCTGGAAGAGGGGCAACCGGGACAGAATCCGGCGCCCCGACCGGGACTAGAACCCGGTGTGCCGGTGCCGTAAGGCAGAGGATTAGCCTGGTGAGGTGCGGCGCCGGCCATAATTAATTCTTAGAAATTATTTATTTGCAAGACAGAAGGAGAGAAAGAGAAAGAGTAAGAAAGATATACCTTCCATCTGATGGTTCCCTCTCCAAATGCCTGCAACAGATGGAACTGGACCAGGCTGAAGCCAGGAACCAGGAGCTCCATCAGTCTGTCATGTGGGTGGCAGGGACTCAAGTACTTGAACTTTTATCTGCTGTCTCTAAGGGTGTGCATTAGCAGGAAGCTGGAATCAGAAGTGGAGCTGGAACTCAAACCCAGGACTGTGATATGGGATGTGGGTGTCCCTAGCAGTACTGAACTGCTATGCCAAAAACCCCTCCCTATATTATTTCTTTCAACTGGAAATGAATCTACAATTATCTCAATAAAAATATTAAAGAAAGATACCATGTTTCACCCATCAGATTGGCAAGACAAAAAGAAATCCTCATAGTCTGAAGTGTTGTCAAAAGAGAAAAAAAAAATAAAATGTTGGCCAGGATGTGAGGAACATGTTGCCCTTGCCCACTGCTGCTGGGAGTACAATTTGGTATGGCCACTTTTGATAGTAATATAACAGGCAACCAATAAAACTTAAAACACATACCCTTCCCTGCTCAGCGTTCTTCAGAGTGTACATTCCCTAGGGAAATTCTCCCAGCTAGTCCTGAAGGGATGTGTACAGAAGAGTGCTTATTATAATATTGTTTATAAAAGCAAAGTGTAGAAATACTGTAACTAGCCTGTAATCAGGGAATGGAGATTGTTTATAATACGTAGCATGATAAGGAGCTTCTCTAGAAGTACAGGTAAAAACAGACAAGACAAACTTCCTGGTTCATATATCTTAAATGTAGTAGTAAGGAAACATAAATAAAAAAGCAAATAAATATGATACTGTTTATGTAAAAAATTTTAAATGTGAAGTATGGTTTAAGATCTCAGTATCAAACATATATTAGTGTATAAATACATTTATTTATATAATGTTAAAAACAGACCAGAAGGATATACAGCTATCCCTCAGTATTTATAGAAGAACAGTTCCAGGACCCCCTCTAGTACCAAAATCTTCTGATGCTCCATTCCATAAAATAGCATTGTATTTGCATAAAACTCATGCACATGCCCCACCCATACTTTAAATCATCTCTAGATTACCTGCAATAGCTAATACAATATGAATGCTATGGAAATAGTCCTTATAATGTATTGTTTAGGGAATAATGACAAGACAAACAGTTTGTACTAGTTCAGTACAGATGCAAGGCCTAACTACATAGGTATACAATCCAAGATTGGTTGAATCCAAGGATTTGGAATGCATTAAGATGGAGGACCGATACTTCTCTGTCTCTCTCTCTGTCTGTGACTGCCTTTCAAATAAATAAATAAATAAATAATTTTTTAAAAAAAGATTTATGGGCTGGCGTTATGGCATACCAGGTAAAGCCACTGCCAAGGTTGCTGGTCTCCCATATGGGCACTGGATAGAGTCCCAACTGCTCTACTTCAGTTGCAGCTCCCTGCTAATTAGCATGGGAAAGCAGTAGAGGATGGCCCAAGTGCTTGGGCTCCTGCACCCACGAGGGAGTTTTGGAAGAAGCTCCTGGCTTCTGGCATCAGACTGGCCTAGCTCCAGCTGTTGTGGTAACTTGAGAGAGTGAACCAGCAGATGAAAGATCTCTCTCTCCTTCTCCTCCTCTCTTTCTGTCACTCGGACTTAGAGAGAGGGAGACAGAAAGTGGTCTTCTATTCACTGGTTTACTCCCAAATGGCTGCACCAGCTGAGGAAGCCAGGAGCCAGGAACTCCATCTGGGTCTCCCTTGTGTATAGAAGGGACCTAACTACTTGAGCCATCATCTGCTCTTCCTAAGTGCCTTAGCAGGTAGCAGGATCAGAAGCAGAATAGCTAAGACTCAAACCAGCATGCCAACATGGGATGCAGGTGTCCCAGGCAGAGTCATAACCCACTGCACAACAAAAGCCTGCATCTGCCCTTTTATTTTTTTAAAAAAGATTTATTTATTTGAGAGGCAGAGTTAGAGAGAGGGAGAGACAGAGAGAGAGGTCTTCCATCCACTGGTTCATTCCCTAAATGGCTGCAATGGCCAGAGCTGGGCCGATCCAAAGTCAGGAGGCAGGAGCTTCTTCTGGGTCTCCCATGTGGGTGCAGGGACCCAAGCACTTGGGCCATACTCTGCTGCTTTCCCTGGTACATTAGCCTGGAGCTGGATCGGAATTGGAGCTGCTGAGACTCGAACCAGTTCCCATAATCAGTGCCCATATGGGATGCCTATGCTGGAGGTGGCAGCTTTACCCGCTGCGCCACAGGCCCATAACATTTTGCTTAAGCATATGGGCTGCTGGTGTTTGAAACCTGCCCTGTCATTCACTTTCTGACCTTGGGCAGATAATTAAACTCTGAACCTTTTCCTCATGGGGATATTAAAGTACTTATCTCTAGGGCAGTCTTGTGGCACAGCAGGTTAAGCTGCCATTTGGGAGGCCCGAAAGTGAAAACTTTTAACAAGGTTCTAGACAATGCCTCGCATATAGAAATCAGTCAATCATACTAAACAATAATAACAGGCAACATTTTAATGGTAATTCTTTTATGCCATGCTGTTATATAACAGTTTTGTATATGTGATATTAATAACTAGCTCTTGTTAGTGTTCCTGATTGCCATTTCAGGATCTGGCTTAGTAAACCCTGGTTTTGCTTCGGAAGCAGGCAGGAGATGTGGAAATATCCACGTACTGAGCCCGAGTTGCATCCTTTCCAAGTCAAGTCACAGAGCACCACTGTCCTGCTGGCAGAGGAACCGGACCTGGAAGGGCTGACATGATACCATCACAGTCTAACAGCAAAATCTAGGGCTTCTGCTCCACACTCAGCCATTTAATCAGAAATTAAGAGCTGGCAGATATTGCTGCTCCACTGGTACCCATTCTAAGGAATCCTGAATCATGCTGAATCAGAGAAGTTCAGCCGGTCCCCTCTCCGGACACTTGATAGTTACTTATGGTCCTTGTCATCCTGCAGGTTCTTCAGCAGCAACGTCTCTGGCTTAGTAGCCACTCTGGTAACCCCACTCTGGGTAAGACTGAAAGGCTGAACAGGGATAAAACACAGCTCCGAGGGAAGGGAATGTGACAGGAACCTTTCTTCAAATAGCATTGGCAGTTTTGAGTTAGCTGGCTTTTCTTCTTTTTCAACATCTCTAGTGAAAGGGGTACACCCCGGGGCAAGTTCAGGCAATACAAATACTGTAGGGAAATTTCATTAGTCTACTCTGAAGACGGTCATAATACCCTGTAGCTGTTACTGTTACTGTTCCTAGAGCCAAGCAGTAAAGCTCACAACATGTTTTCTTTCTTTCTTTTTTTTTTTTTTGCTATGTAAGCTCTTTTAAAACCTGTGGAACACTGTTGGGTACTTCTTTGTCACATTCAATCTCATTTTCTGTAGCTGCTTTTTTTAATAAGTCTTTTTTTTAAAAGATTTATTTATTTATTCAAAATCAGTTACACAGAGAGAGGAGAGGCAGAGAGAGAGAGATCTTCCATCCGATGGTTCACTCTCCAATTGGCCGCAATGGCCGGAACTGCGCCAGTCTGAAGCCAGGAGCCAGGAGCTTCTTCCGGGTCTCCCACGTGGGTGCAGGGGCCCAAGGACTTGGACCATCCTCTACTGCCTTCCCAGGCCACAGCAGAGAGCTGGATCAGAAGAGGAGCAGCCAGGTCTTGAACTGGCACCCATATGGGATGCCAGCGCTTCAGGCTAGGGCATTAACTCACTGCACCACAGCGTCGGCCCCTTAGCTGATTTTTTTTTTTAAGATTTATTTATTTCTTTGAAAGGTAGAGTTAGAGAGAAGCAGAGGCAGAGGCAGATAGAGAGAGAGAGAGATCTTCCATCTGCTGGTTCACTTTCCAGATGGCCATAACAGCTGGAGCTGTGCTGATCTGAAGCCAGGAGCCAGGAGCTTCTTCTGGGTCTCCCATGTAGGGGCAGGGGCCCAAAGACTTGGGCCATCTTCTACTTCCCAGGCCATAGCAGGGAGCTGGTTTGGAAGTGGAGCTGCCAGAACTTGAACTGGCACCCATATGGGATACCAGCACTGCAGGCAGCAGCTTTACCCGCTACGCCACAGAACCAGCCCTCTTCAGCTGTTTTTTAAAGTTTTAATATTAGGAACATGCTGGGTCTACCATCAACAGCAAACACTTTATGCAGCATCACAGTGGAAATGGTAAACAAAAAACACACTTTATGACTATTTGAACTTGTTCTCCTGGTGTAGTGTGGATGCATCCAGGCTGGGCCTTGTGTAGGATATTTTGTGCTTTTCGAACTCAGTGTTAGAGCTTAAGAAGTTACTATTTTCTCTGCAATTGATACTCTACACCCTCCTTCAAAGTCTATAAAGATTAATCAGATTAGGGAGGGGAAATCTATAAAGCTGTGAAAGCATTTTGGTAATAAGACCATATATAATACAAAATCCCATTTTACAACTGACAACTCCAGTGTTATAGGTCAGTACATGAACTACTATGCATTTATTTAGTCTGATTGGAAATGGAGCTTTTCCAAATTGGATTTTAAAACATTTTTACTTTACATTGTTTAGGATAAAAAAAGTTTAAAACAGCTGTAGTGGTTTTTTTTTTTTAAGATTTATTTATTTACTTGAAAGAGTTACACACAGAAAGAGAAGGAGAGGCAGAGAGAGAGAGAGAGAGAGAGGTCTCTATCCACTGGTTCACTCCCCAGTTGGCTGCAATGGCTGGAGCTGCGCTGATCCGAAGCCAGGAGCCAGGAGCTTCTTCCGGGTCTCCCATGTGGGTGCAGGGGCCCAAGGTCTTGAGCCATCTTGTACTGCTTTCCCAGGCCACAGCAGAGAGCTGAATCGGCAGTGGGGCAGCCAGGACTCAAACCGGAGGCCATATGGGATGCCGGCCCTGCAGGCAGCGGCTTTACCCACAATGCCACAGCGCCGGCCCCAGCTTGTTTTAAAGCCCTAAGTTCACTCTGATAACTGCTACCCTTGACTGGCAGTGTTGAGCATCATCTGCCACCTGCCTCCCAGTGATTACGCACTAGTGATCTGAACCCAGGGTCAGTTCCTGATGCTCAGCACAAGGGCTCTCGACCCCTCCTCACCAGCCTGATTTCACAAACCACAGCCTCCGAACCAGGAGGGCGCAGAGCAGGGGCAAAAGCGGATGCAGCACACACAGCCGTCGGCAGAACCGCTGCTGCCAACAGGGACCGCTCGGCCCTCCTCTCAACTGCCCCGTGCACTTAACTTCAAAGGAATGCAAAGCCGCTTGATGGGATCCACGGACAGGGCGTGAGTAATGAACCGAGTCATCTTAAGACCCGTTAGAGCTGCAGAGATTTGGGGTTCGCCCATTCCCCCCACCACGTTTCTAATAAAAGCCATTCCAAACGGGGCGCAACGTTCTAGAACAGTTCACTTGGTGCTGAACAGTCACTGGGTGATGACAGCCGCCTCTGTTATCATCCTCAAGGTATCTATGACCACACTCACCACCTCTTTTGAAGAAAATAAACTAGAAGCCACTGGTGACCGTGACAGCCCGCCCTCTCACCCCCTCAGGTCCCAGCGCGCTACACGGGTCACAGGGGGAATTGTGAGGCGGTGCCCTGCACCCCATTCACAGCTCCCCCCAGGCGAGGCCGCGCCCTCACCAGGCCTTTATTTCCGCAGGAATTTTAGCGAAAGCCAAAACAGACCTCCGGGTCTGCGGCCTAGTACCACGGCCACTTTCCGTTCCTGGAAATCGGGCCCTGTTCTGATAGCCCAGCGCCTAGGGGCAGATTGAGAAGGGGAAAGAACTTCCCCGGGCCCCAAGCTAATCAGAATCCCCTCACCCAGCCCCGGCCCCTGGCATCCCCGGGCTCCAGCGGCCCGGCGGGGCGTGGCCCGGACTCCGGGAAGAGGCCCGGGGTGGGGCGCCGAGGCCAGGGGCCAGGGCCCAGGCGGGAAAGGCCGCGCGCGGCGCACGCCGGGAAGGGCCGCGGCGCGCTGTGGTAAGAGCCCGCCCCGCCCCGCGCCGCGCTTGGGATGGGCGGACCCTCCCCGCGGGCGGCTCTGATTGGTCGGTCGAGCCTCGCGCGCTGATTGGCCGTGTGGGCGAGGCGGAGGAGAGCCGTGCGCAGCGGCGTGTGTGGGGCCGTGTGCAGACCCGCGTGTGGCGCAGGCAAGGACCCTGAAAATAAACAGCCGCTAGCTTGCGAGCCGCCTTCTCCGGGCCTGCGTCCGAGTCTCCGCTGCTGCGGGCCCGCTCCGACGCCGAAGGTGAGAGCTGGGGAGGGTGGGCGCCGGGGCTGGCGCGAGCCGCGGTGTGGGCCGCGGGCCGAGGCAGGCGAGGAGGGTAGAGAGCGGTGGGGCGACGATGGCGGCCGCACTTTGGCCTGCGCTGCTGCTGCGTCAGGCGGGAAGCCCGGCTTCTGCCTCCGCGTCGGACTGGGGTTTCCGGCGCGCCGCGGTCTGGCGACCCTGCCGGCCCTCCTCCTGCCCCGAGAAGCGGGGCTGCCGCGCGTCGGGACCCGCTCCAGGCCAAGGCCGCACCCCAGGCCGCAGGCTTCCGGCGAGGGAGGCCCGACCCGCGCGCCCTTGGGAGCTGAGGCGTCGGGGGCGCGGGGCGCGGGGCCGAGGGTCGATTTGGCGGGAACTTAGTGGAGGGAGGCCGTGGGGTGGGGACGGACCCTGGCTGCGGGGGAAGGGGGGTGGGGAGGGCTCTCGTGCGGGCCATGTGCCGGGGCGGTGGGCCCGCGGGCCATGTGCCAAGAGTTCTGGGAGCCTTCGAAACAGGCCCTTGAGGAAGTCCTTGTGTTAGGGGTGGCCGGACGTTCCGCTGGAAGACTCGGGGGCCTTTGGAATTCATGCTCTCCACAGTCGTTTCCTGAGCCTTGAATTTTTTCTTCTTTTTAATCGTCATTTAAATTCCCTTTTTTAAGTTGCCTGTTTCAGTCTGCCGTTGAAAAAGGGTAGGCTAGGACTCACTTTTCCTCTGTCAGCGTGATTTAGTTTGCGGGGGCTTTTAAGAAACCTCGTTGTCAGAACAGAAAAAAATCAATTTGTCAACCCCCCAGGACCATAGCAGCAGCAGTAGTCTTTGGATCGTTTCTTGGATTAATTAAGCGGATACGAATTACAAGTGAGACACGACGTTTAATTAGCCAGGCCCCATCTAGATTTTCCATAACGTGAAAACCTATTTTAGAACGGCATAATCGCCCGCATTTGGATTTGGGTGTTGATTTTATTATGGCTAAGGCGTCTGCTAGTTGCCACATGTTAGCCACATGGCCTCAGCCACGGAGCACTTGCAGAGGAAGTGACTACATCTGGGCTTGGGGGTCTTAAAGGATTGCTCCGTAATCATCTGGGACTTCAGGTACCGTGTTTCAGGCAATAATTCAGAAGGTGCCACGGAAGCGGTACAGTGAAGAAGCTAAAAGTCCGAATATTTTTTTTTTTTGCCTTTTTGTAAAGTAAAGGTGCATTAATATACATTCCCGCCTTGCTGCTGGATTACATTTTTTAAGAGTACTTTCCCCCCTTTTCTGTTGTTTGAGCCAATTTTGTAGAGACAACCAATTAATCGTTGCATTGGTGAGTTAATGTTTGAATTTAAACTAGCCCTTTTTTTTTTTTATTCGTTTCCTCAAACAGTGTAAATTGAGCATGAGACTTTGAGGATTTTAAAAAGGTGTATGGAATGTCGTCCCTGTTTCTTAGGGTTTTTTTCCTTCCTGTCAGTTTATAAGAAATTCTTATAAAGCATTCAAACTCCTGTAAATCAGTTGAGCCTGATTCTTGTCTACCAGTAGCTCAGCAGGTAGTGGTACATAAAAAAAATGTATTAGAGTCTCAAAGGCTGAATTTAGGACTTGAAGTGTTTTCCAAATTGATTTACTCTTGGTAAATTTTTTTTTAATATACTGGTCATGCATACCTACACCTACCTGCATTCCTCTCCTTAGAAATAAAGTTTTTCCCATAAACCAAAGGTCCACATTCCTTTTCATACTGATAACCAGAGATAATGAATTTCGAACAGATGTGCAGTGTCGTAACTGATTTTGAAAAAACTCAGTGAAAGACCAAGGATATTTAAGATGTAAATGAATTTTTTAACATGGTTTGTGACTGAGTTCTTAACTTTAAAATTCAGCAAAAAATGTGTGGCGCAAACATGAGAATGTGCCAGATGGGTGTTTAAAAGAGATGGGGCCACCTTTGGACTAAACACTTGACCACAGAGAGATTGTGCTTTTTTCTCCCTGCAGGAATGGGAGTTAAACCGTGCTGGCTCTTTGCTCTCCCAGCCCCCTGGTAGTAAGTGGAGAGCCTCTCTCTGTTCTGTGTTGGTAGAATCCCTGTTCTGGCAGTTTCAATCGCTGCTGCAGTAAGGGAATGCCCCATTGAGATTCCAGCAAGCTCTGCGGCATTTTCATATTGTAGGAAGCTACTGGGATAATAAAGCGTTTGATGGCAACGAAGATTCAGGTTCTAAGTAGAGGATTTTGTTAATTAGGAACATAAAAGTCTACAGCGATCACCGGGAGTGGCTCCTTAATTACAAATGGTGGGGATATTAACTATAAAGGCAAATTGCCAGTGTTTGTGTGTCATGAAGGGAAAAAAAATCTTGGCCTAAAAATTCAAGAAAGGTGTATGGCATAGCGAACACACTGTGAATGAGTTCAGAGTCATGGCCGTAGATGAGTAGAGAGAAAAACAGAAGGTAATTTTCATATTAAAACTCAAATGAACTTTTTTTTTTTTACTTGCTAAATGGTGATATTCTTGTGTAGTATGTTTGAAGGAAGGAGTAAGTTGGGTGTCCTGTTAAAAATAGCATTTTCGTGTACTTTATTCTAACCAAATCCTCTGGTGAGGATTTAGAGCTAGGCTGTTAAAATTCTGAGTCTGGTACTTTCTGGCTGTACTGGCTTGGGTAAGTTGCTTGGTCTCAGATATTCAATGTCCTTATTAAAATGGAGCAAGAACACATAACTTGTGTTGTAAGACATAGATATGTGTATTAATTCCTGACTCATAGTAGATATTCAGCTATTAAAACCCTTCAGAGATAAATGGATATAATTAACTAGGGTCGGGGAATAAATGCAGGAGCTTGGGTAACAGAATTAGTTCCAGTAATCTCTTCTCCATTATTCTGGTTAGAGTACAGAAATGTGTCTTGCTTCCATTGAACCTGTACTTTTGTTTTTATTACAGCAGGCTTCAGTACTGTGTTGGGAACACCAAACTGATTAATTTGTAGTAAAATAATGAGTGAATGCGTTCAGAGGGTGCAGAAGTGTCACTTTGGGCTAAATGCAGGGAGGGCAGGAACAGAGATGCGGGAGGGATAATCCCGAGCTTGGGGGAAATAACTAGGATATATGTCACACAAATGTGAATCTTCGTTGCCAGTTTGCCTTCACTGACATGAGTACCAGACTGTTTTAAAGATTTACTTTTATTTATTTGAAAGGCAGCATTAGAGACAGAAGGAGGTACAGAGCAAGATCTTTCATCTGCTGGTTCACTCCCCCAGTGACTGCAATAGCAGGGGCTGGGCCAGGCTGAAGCCAGGAGCTTCATCTCGGTCTCCCACATGGGACAGGGGCCCAAGGACTTGGGCCTTCTGCTGTTGCTTTCCCAGTTGCACTAGCAGAGAGATGGACTGGAAGTAGAGCAGCCTGGAACAAACTGGCACCAAAACAGGATGCTGCCATTGCAGGTGGTGGCCCAACCCACCAAGCCATATCACCGGCCCCTGTACCAGACTTAAGACACAAAACCACCAGACCTCTTAAATCTAATAGTGTACAGAATATGGTCCAGGCTAGTAACACGGGTTGCGCCAGTTTGTGTCCCAGCTGCTCCAGCTACAATTCAGCTCCCTGCTAATGCACCAGGGAAGCAGCAACTGCACCAACATGGGAGACAAGGGTGAAGCTCCTGGCTTGGACCTGGCCCAGCCCTGGCCATTACGTCCATCTGGGAAGTGAATCAGATGATGGGAGATTTCTGTCTCTCCGTATCTGTAACTCTGCCTTTCAAATAAATAAATCTTAAAAAAAAAAAAAAAAAAAAAAAACTAGTAACAACAGTTTCAAATCTCTACCCTAGAAAATAGATTGAATATAAGCAGCAACAGGAATGCTAGGGATAAAAGTAACCCTAGCAAAGCATGATTTGTATTGGGCAGATGGCACTGTTTCATCGTTTCCCTGATACCTCCTGGACACCAGGGACAGCTGGCATAATTCAAGAGGCATTATCACCTCTTGAAGTATTGTTTGTGTCTGAAATTTTTTTTCTATAATGTACATTTTTAAGATTTATTTATCCTAAAGTCAGAGTTACGCAGAGAGTTCCATCTGATGGTTCACTCCCCAATTGGCCGCAACAGCCAGAGCTGTGCCGATCCGAAGCCAGGAGGTTCCTCCGGGTCTCCCACAAGGGTGCAGGGGCCCAAGGACTTGGGCCATCTTCTGCTGGTTTCCCAGGCCATAGCAGAGAGCTGAATCAGAAGTGGAGCAGCTGGGTTTCGAGCCGGCGCTTCAGACCAGGTGTTAACCTGCTGTGCTACAGCACTGGCCCCTGAAAATTTTATATATACAAATTGAAACTGAGAGTTGAAACTTAAAAGCATTTCTAGGGAGTGGGTATTTGGTGCCTTGGTTAAGCTGCTGCTTATGATGCCTGCATCACATATCCCAGTGTCTGGGATGGAGTCCCAACTCCACTTTGAATTCCAGCTTCTTGCTGAGGTGCACCCTGGGAGTTAACATGTGATGGCACAAGTAGTTGGGTCCCTGACACCAAGACCTTGTTGGAGTTCCTGGTCCCCTATTTCAACCTTGCCAGGCCTTGGCTCTTGTGGGCATGAATGAACCAGCAGATGGAAGATTTCTTTTAATAAATTAAAAATAAATGCATCTGATTTCTGATAGTTGAAAATGTGAATCACTTGAAAATCACCCACTTTTCCTCTTAATCTCTTTGTCATTGTATTGAGGAAATGGGCTATAAAATGGGAGATACGAATTTTTTTTTAAAGATTTATATTTTTACTTGAGAGGCAGAGTTACAGACAGAAGGAGAGGGTCTTGCATCCAATGATTCAGTCCCCAAATGGCCACAGCGGCCAGACGTGGGCCCATCAGGAGCCTGGAGCCTCTTCTGGATCTCCCATACGTGTGCAGGGGCCCAAGCACTTGGGCCATCCTCTACTTCTTTCCCAGGCCATCAGCAGGGAGCTGGTCTGGAAGTGTATCAGCTGGGACACCAACTGTCGCCCATATGGATGCTGGCACCACAGGCCGATGCTCAACCTGTGCCAAGGTGGCTCCACTTTTAACCTGCTGTGTAGGCATTGTAATGCGTTGTGTGTATAAGCCAGTGGTTAAGCTGTTTTAAGTGTTTAATCCAGACTTACCCAAAATCTACCAAAATCTAATTCTTTTACTGCTTTGTCAGGGTACATCATTGCAGTGTAGATATGTGTTTTTTTTGTTTGTTTTTATTTATTTATTTATTTATTTATTTATTTATTTTTTAATTAAAAGCAAGAGAATCTGTCCTCCTGCTGCCTGACAACAGTGAAAATACAGTCTTTTGGTGGCCCCCGCCCCAGCCTTAAGTTACTATATGTGCAGCATTCCGTAAAATAGTACCAGCGTCTGATTGTGAATTCTTGGAGAAAATCCTGGGTGGCTGCTGGTTTAAGTGACCTCAGGTGAAAATGCCTCAGACATAGATGTACGTTGCGTTAAATAATCTAAAATGTGCTTTCATTGCTTAACATGCAACAGCTTAGCTTTATTACAAATAGGAATCACAAAAAGAACATCTGAAAGTAGAAGTTAATTCTGTCATGCTTTGTTTTCTGTTTTTTCAGTTGTATTGGGACTGTCT